TCATATCATGGCCTCGCCTTTAGACTGAGTTTCCCTGGGACAAACTGATCTCTACAACTGGTTCTCAGTATAGTGGCAGTTTCATGAGTATACATGCATATACATGCACAGCAGTATCCAGGTTATAGCAGTATTTGGGATTCTGTGTATACATGCACGCTGAGAAACCAGAATAGTCATATCCCTGTGCACATGATCAAATGGAGTATCCTGGTTTCTTGACATAATCTTACAAATGCACAAGTGCCAAAATTATATATTTAATAAACCAGGAAAAATACAAACAAATATGAGTTCCTTTAGTGTAAGAAGCTTGGAAGGTTCCTCACCAGTGGTAAGGAGCTATGAAGCATTCCACAATCCACTGCACAGATCAAACCCAACACTTCCAAACACTATTGTACAAGTTCTACACTGCAGCAGATTCTTCATACAAATGTTCTGCATAAATAAACTCAATTTTACAACTTATAAACCATAACCACTATAGAACCACATCAGCCCGTATGATAATATAATGTGTAGCAAAAATTCAGTTTGTCAAAGGACAAAAGATTATTTGGTTGAAACCAAATAAATTAAATTGACAAATTGATTTTCTGCTTTTGCTATGGATTCTACTTGGACAACTGAAAAATTGTACACACATCTTGAGAACAATATAATGTGTTACTGCAGCTTTGCACACATTTGTTTACATTTTACAAAATGAAATTGAAAACCAAATTTCTCATTTGCATAAACTATAAGTGTTGAAAAAAAACAAAAAAAAAACAAAAACTAAACAGCTCTCTCGTGTCCTAATGTGGTTCAGCTTCTGTCGGAGTAAAGGACACGACTTAGTGGAATATGAATGTTCTCTCTGTGAACAGAGGATGTGCTGCTGATGCTGAGTCTGTTCTGGGTGTGTATCGTGTTGGAGATTATTCATGTTTAATGTTTCAAAGATCATAAGTGTGCAGGTCGTACAAGTGCAGATTATAAGTTTATAAGTAAGGTTAAGCACAGCTCTTTATATTCGGGATACTGTGTATACATGTCACAGTATCCTGGTTACTATCAGAATATACCAGCTACAGTATCCCGGTTTCTCATAATCAGGTACCGGTACATTGTCTACATACACCATGATGAAACCAGGATACTGCTGTGCATGTCAACACTCTACATGGCTCTCACTCATTCATCCAGGTGAACATGGACTCTACAGCAGGCTGTGTATTTCCAATTAACAGAAAAACAATCATGAAACACCCATAAAGTACAATTTAATCATACATTATAAAAGTGAGTGGAGTCACACCTTGAGACTTGTATCCTCTGACTCTTAACACTGCGTGAGTTCTTTTATTGCTCTGCTTTATTTGTTTTCATATTGTTATTGGTTTTCTCTTATTATAAACCATTATACTGGTTTTATTGTTTTATATTTATTTGATTTTTTGCTCTACATTGTTGTTGTCAATGTCCAGCACTTCAGAAATCTTGTTTATAACATGTATAATACAAATAAACTGGAAAGTTTGAATTGGAACAAATACAAATGTTCATGTTATTGTATAAATTGACTGTTAAATAGTCACATACTAAAATCATTTACAGCAACTACAAATACTATTTATTGAGACTTCGCTGCTGATATCATTAAAATTCACTGTGGGTGTGATGTTAACTGCAGGCCCGGCTCTGTCTGAAGCTCTGTTAGACTTTAATCTAATCTTTATTTTAGCACAATCTAACCAGAAAGAGCAGCGTTAGTTGGATGAGCTGATTTGTGCTGTGAAACAATCTCTCACACGTAAAATTACAGTCACAACAAACTAACAAGCAAGAGCCAACAGTCACACTCTCCTTTTTGTAGAAAATCAAACTCCTAACCAGGACTGTGAACGCTCGTTTGTTTGGTTGGTTTTATTTAAAATCCCCATTAGATGAAAAACAATAGCTATTCTTCCTGGGGTCTGTGTCAGCCTATAAATGCATTTTATTGTATTTATTTTGTTCATACAGAAAACAGACAGAATGTACATACACCACATTCACACCAACAATGAAACCAACAACAGACACCACAAAAATAACTAAAACATACAAATAATCATGATAATCAAAAAATTCTAAATAATTCTGTTGGGATCAGAGATGCACAACTCAATTATTCAGTTATGAATAAATCCACAAGGCTGCTGCCAAAGCACATAAAATCACAACCATTCCAACATAGCTACTCCCGAGTGAAAATGAAGAGTCTAATCATTTTATGGAAACTAAGCGTCCTCCTCCCTGAGATGAGAAACTGTGGGAGTGAATTCCACCGTTTCTCTAGAGCGCACTGTCCTCTGAGTTTGATTGAGCGACAGGCCGGTAACAGAAAGCGCCTCTCGCCTGATTGTTTTTTGCAGTACTGATGCACATCACTGAAAATGGTCAATTTACTGTACAGGATTTCTGTTGTTGTTGTGACTATCAGGTTTCTAATGAATTTAATCAAACAGTACTTGATCCTTCCTCTTCCATGCTCCAGGCAAACTGCTTTATCTCACTGAAGTTGTTCTGAACAGACAGTTTAGGACGAGCCGTGCTGCTTTATCCTGTGCTACCGGTAATTTGTTTAACCCTCACACTCTCCTCGGGGTCACATAGACCCAAAGAAACATTTTTTTTCCTTCCCGCTCTCTTGGGGCAGGTCAATCAGACCCAAAAATTTATTGTCTCGCGTGAGAGTTAAATTTGTCTCTGTTGTATTTGACCAAACAATTGAAGAGTAGTCCAGGTGTGACAGGACTATAGATTCCATTAATATTTACCTTATTCGATTTGGTAAACATTTCCAGCACTACTTAAGGGGACAGTTTGGGATTTTGGACATAGGACCTCATTTCCTAGTGAGCCAGAGTGTTGGAGACGTGTGAAGACACTTCTTAAAAAATATTCCATCCAGTCTTTGTATTTGCAGAGGTCGCTGGTGCTAGGCTAGTGCATGTCAATGATCATAGTGTCAGGTTTGTCACGAAGAAGTTTTAACAGATTTAATCATTCCAAAAGGCTCAAAAAACACAGTAGCTTCCACATAACAGAGAGACAATCTGACAAATGAGGAAGGGAAGACACAGATTAAAAGGGAGCTAATAGGACACAGGTAAAGCACATTAGGGCGGGGCAGTAATCAAAGGCGGGAACACAAGAGGACGGAAATAAATCTGCAACAGAAATAGGGTAAGTGATTTCAAAATAAAAGGGAAACAAACAGGACATGACACATAGTTATCCTGCCATAAAACACCAGAAGCAAATCTATTATTACACCAGACTGTTGATGTAAATGTCTGTGTTGACAGAATAATGTTTGAAATAAAACTAACCTTCAACATCGCATGAATCGTCGCATGTTGAGGGACTATTTTCTAATGTATCACTCCGCCAAGCTTTCCATCGGGAAGTACGACTCACTGCTGCTGCTCACACATAAATCCTTCAAATGTAAGGTTGGTTTTACTTCAGAAATTATTCTATCAACACAGACACTCACATGGACAGTCTGGTGTAATAACAGATTTTCTTTGGGTGTTTTGTGGAGTGGGTAAAACTGTTTTTAGTGGCAGGCTAACTATGGCCATTGACATGCACTAGCCTAGCACCAGAAATACAAGGACTGGATGGAATATTTCAAAAAGTGTCTCCATACGTCTCCAACACTCTGGCTCACCAGGAAATGAGGCCCTATGTCCAAAATTCCGGACTGTCCCTTTAACAACAGCCAATATATTCTTTACATGATGTTCCAGGTCAGCGGTCTCAGTTACTTGTTCTATAGAACTGCATTCTACATCCAAATTTAGAATAGGGGAGTTTTTAAAAGATGATTTGATTCTAAGACCATGCCATGTCTTTTCAGCATTAATGGTGAGGAGAAAATTCAGTTTGTCGACTGGACAAAAGTTAGTTTGATTGAAGATGTTTCGCAGCTCATCCAAGCTGCTTCTTCAGTTCTGGTCAGACGCTGGTGGACACTTCCTTATATCTGCAGGGAGGAACGAACTACACTGAAACTAACACACCTACTTGTTTACAGTTTCTGTTTGTTAGTTCGGCCTATTGACCTGTACAGGGTGTGGAGTCTAATTAACAGAACAATTCATGGCCATAATGGAGCTTCCACACCTCTGGACCTGACCTGGCTACACCTGTTGTTCTCTTGTTTGTTTTGATTTAGGTTTGAGGATGGAGTTGTAAATAGGAGATACATGGTGTCTGAGGCCTCCATTTCTGTTTAGAGAAGGATTCTTTTTCTTAACAAAAATGGCTCCTTTCACTCCCCTCTCAAACCAATTCTTTTCTCTGGCTAAAATCTGTACCTCGCTGTCCTCAAGTGAGTGGCCCGTGGCTTTTAGATGGAGATGTACAGCAGACTGACCAACAAACAGAAACTGTAAACAAGTAGGTGTGTTAGTTTCAGTGTAGTTAACTCCTCCCTGCAGATATAAGGAAGTGTCCACCAGCGTCTGACCAGAACTGAAGAAGCAGCTTGGATGAGCTGCGAAACGTCTTCAACCAAACTAACTTTTGTCCAGTCGACAAACTGAATTTTCTCCTCACCGTGGATTCGACCTGGACGACTGAGGGATTCTTCACACATCTTTTCAGCATTAACCACAGGCTCCTGAAAATATTTTGTTCAAATCCATTTTGTACTTTTTCCACACACAATCTTAAACCTTTCTGGCAGTGTTTGCTAATGTGGGCACTGTGTCACCATGGTAACTGCTGAACAACCCATCATAAACATACAGGCAGAACACCCCAGATTGATGTCAGTGCAAAGGAGCTTGTCAGAAAAATCACAATTAGATATTTTTCTAAGTCATTCAGGCCTACACACTACAAACACTATGTAGAGTATTTGAATTCCTGTAGATATAAACATTACTACTACTACTACTTCACCTTCTTATTAAAATACGCCTCTATCTTGTTATTTTCCACTGTGTACTCCCACTCACCTGTACTGTATGGTTTCTGACGTAGTAGACGCTCTCAGCTTGGTCATCAGGATCCTCACGATGTTAAATAAAAACACAAAGTTTATCTGGAGAAGAAAGGACACGCAGAGAAAAAGGAGATGAAGAGGACTTGAAAGGACGATAATTGGCATTTAAGGTGTGAAGAATACTCGAGATGAGACAAACTTTACTCATTATGAAAAGAGTGAGAGGAGGAGAGGGCACGGACCCCGCAGCGCCATTAGCACTACTCCTCCGCTCACGCACGGAGCTGACCTCTGAGGTTCACCCCCGCAACTCTGGAGGCTGCACATTTTGTTACGTAAAGGGTCCGTCACCTGTTTGTTTAAGTACAATGCACCTTTAAAGATTTAATAAAAAAACAAATAACATAATTCCAGAAATGATTTTGGCGAAAGAGTAAATTTGCATGGACCAAATTGGCGTAATCGCTCATTAGTGGTCCATGTTGGAAAAGGCTTTTAAATGAACTCATCCTTTGTGGCAGGACTAACCTCGCTCTGAGCATTTTAATGTCCAGCCCCTCAGACCCCTGCCTTTAGGTTGAAAATACTTCTGGATGGCAGCAGAAACTTCATGAAACAGATGAGTGCCTTTTTGAAACCATTTCCACCAACACGATAAAAATCTGAAGAGAAATCCATTTTGCATAATATCCCTCTTAATGACTTGTGGCTCAGTATATGCACCAGGAGCAGCTGTGCACTGGCGGAACCTAACAAACTAAAAGTAGTTAAGTACTGTACCTAAATGTGCACTGTGTAACTTTTTGGTGGAGGGTCCGTCACCCGCTTGTGTCTATGGATCTGTCATTTCTTTGCCTGGAATCTTCCACAGTGTGACATTAAACAGCTCTACCTTCAGTGTTGGGAGTAACTTGTTATAAAAGTAATGATTTACTGTATTACATTGGTTTTTGCAGTAACGCAGTAATGTTCGGCATTAAAGGGAAAAAATATAAATTTTACTCAGTACAAATGTCAGTAATGCGCGTTACAAAAACCTGAAGTGGTGGGTTTTTTGTTTTTCTTCATACAAATTTGCTAAAGTCACTACGATATCAGCAGAGGTGAAACGCCATCGTTACGGTTCCGAATGTCAGGACAGGCCCGGAGGTGCACCCGCATAGACTGTTGGTTAACCACGGGCGAAAGGACCGGCGCAGAGCTCCATGATCAAGCTTTGAGGACACTCTGCTCCACGGGCTAAGGATTCTCTCAGGGCTGGTCCTAGATTCCATGTCCTAGCCAAAGATAAATCCTGGTTTAGTCCTGGTTTAGTCCTGGTTTAGTCCTGGTTCAGTCCTGGTTCAGTTCTGGTTCAGTTCTGGTTCAGTTCTGGTTTAGTCCTAGTTCAGTCCATATATGGCGCAAAAGTTCGGCATCTTTGCAGTTATTTTGGTGAGAGCAACTTAATGCAGTAGTCGTGTAATGCCTTACATTTTAAATACAGTAATAATGTAATATAATGAATTACTTTGAAATGACAGTAACAAGTCATAAATAATGCATTAAAGTTTTGAAGTCACTTGCCCAACAGTGTCTACCTTACATTGATTCAATTACAGGTGGTTTTAGAGCTCAAAAATACCCAGAAAAACAAGCATTCTGACTGTGAGCAGGGTCATCTCTCCACAGATCTGACCTGTAACTTGGTCTGGTTTGATCTCCATGCAGATACAAAGGTTTAATACCGTACTGTGAAGCATTCCAGACAAAGCAATAACATCTCCACGAAGAAAAGCATTTGACAGACCAGACCGGTTTGCACATTTAAGTATCATTACTTTACTTAAGTACATTTTAGAGTGGATACTTTTTTATTAATACTGCCTGAGATCCAGAATTCACACTTACTCAATACTTTACGAAAATGTGAGTCTGGTCCCCAGTGAGCTAGTCAGGAATCAGAATACACTAGATGGTTTGCAAGAACCTCGGAAGTGCGAGTTCGGGCACCAGCCAATCAGAGAAGAGCCGTATATTTAGTGTGTTGACAATGATTTCTGAGATTGAGGATTTAAAGCCGGAAAAAAGAGAATGTTTGGTGAATTTCATCAAGGGGAAAGATGTTATTGTCCTTCTTCCTACGGGATTTGGGAAAAGCTGAATATACCAGTTAGCCCCATTAGTGGTGCGTTACATACGTCATGACCAAATAGCAGCGATTGGTAAATTTTTAAAAAGTACCCGCCTACCGTCGAGCAAATTAATTCTAATGCTGTGAGGTCAGATAATTTCCACGAAGTGAAACCAGTTGATGAATCAGAATAGCAGTGAATCTCGTGTTGTCAGACGCCTGTGATTGACAGCTGGATTATGATCCATCAATATCAGAAAAAATAAAGGAAAAAAAAAATATCATGACTGCAGATTTTTGCTGAATCAATGAACGAAGCACTAAACTGATTTAATTGTAAATGATATGTGACCAATGAGAGAGAGAAAAGAATAGATATCATTCTGGATTTGTCAGGCGACTTTTTTCAGTAGAACTCCAGAAGAATTATTTAAGACACCTTTCTCGAGACGTTAATGCTTTAAAGTTTGTCAGACACAACGCAGTCCTTGAGGTGACGGAGATTGAGTTTGAAAGTTATTGAGAGATCACAATAGCTCCTTTTTGAAAGTGGAACTCGTCACAGTTCATTAGAATCTGTGTCATGTCCTACTTTTGGCCCAGAAAAGGCAGAGAGAGTCCAGTGGAGACTTGTCTATATGTATATGTACATGGTGCGATCACACTACTCACCAAAAGTACGAGAATCACAGGTCCCTGGTAAATATAGTCCATGTATTTGCCGGGTTCTTTGCCAAACCAACACCTAAGAGAGACACAGACTTTAATACACACACACTCCAGGTTGTATGAAAATAGTAAAAACTCACACTAAGCATATTGTGTGAAGATGGTTTCACTCGGTACATTTACGTCACAAAAAAACACTTGAATTAGATAAACCAAACATTAGATCAGCTCTTTGTTACATGTGTACAAAGACAAACAATTGTTCATTTGTTTATTTGTCTTTGCCACATTAGTTTGCTTCTTTTTGCATAATTCACTTTGTTAAAACCTACTCATTGTGAACAATAAACTGGAAATCAGAATGCATCAGGAGAAACAGTTTACATGACGTTTCAATTATCCGGTAACTCCAGAAATCAGGTCATGATCAAACTCTTGGCGTGCACATAAACATACCACTGTCAGCGTCAACTGTCCCTGCATTTTGGATTGATTTGTTTGCTTTGATGGCATAAGTCAGGGTCATTAAACTAAGGCCCACGGGTTGACTCTGCCCCTTTGACCGACTCCCCCACCACTTGAACTGGCCCCATGACGCAATCCTCAAAAGTTGTCATGGCCTATATATATATTTTTTTTAATTATTATTTTTGGCAAATAATAACACATCTGCATCCTGTATTTTGTTGGCTTTTTTCAATTAAAACTCAGTTAATTAAAAGATCAAACAGTGACAGTAGAGTATGAAAAGTTGACAGAGTGCAGAGTTTTTAAAGAACACTGGATGACCAATTTTTTTTTTTTCTTGGTCAGTGTAAGGACCGTGTGGTTTGTCTGAAATAAAGTGCGGTGGTTTTCAAAGAATATGAAATGATCATTTACAGCTTTTATCCAAAGTGAAACCGTTTTGATCTTTTAATACACCTGAACAAGTGTTTTTATTTCCTCTCGTTTAGATTTCTGTAATGCACTTTTTTCTGGCTTTAGCCCCGAGCACTTTCTCGCTTACAGTTGGTCCAAAACTCTGCCGTGCAAATTTAACTGGAAGCAAAAAACACTCCCCCAATTTTAGCGTCTTTGCAGTGGCTTCCAGTTCGTTTTAGAATTGATTTTAAGATTTTATTGTTTGCTTTTAAAGCTTTGAATGTTCTGGCCCCATCAGGAGGTCTCAGGTCCAGCTCCAGCTCGTGAGGCCTAAGTCAAGACTTAAAACCAGAAGGACAGGACCTTCTCTATGACCAGCCCCAAACAGCCCCAAGTCCCAACAGCCCCCACAGTGGAGAGTTTTAAGTCTCGTCTTTAAACCCACCGTATTTTCCGGACTATAGAGCGCACCTGAATGTAAAACGGGTCAACTTTTAACAAAATTTTAAAATTGTACATATATAGGCCGCACCTGAATATAAGCTGCAAGTGTCCACGTCTTCAAGAACGTTTTTAAGGGCCATTTGCTTTTATCGCCTCAAATCTTTTACCGTCTTTCTGCATTGAGTCAGTTCGTCACGCTGCCGTCCCCAACGTCTCACCATCGACTCACTGATGTCGAGCTCACGTGCAGCAGCTCTGTTTCCTTCTCCCACAGTCACATCAATCGCCTTTAACTTAAAAGTTGCATCATCTGCATTTATTCGTGTGTTTTCCATGAAGGGGATGTGTGTATGAAGCGCAAAATAACTGTTCGAAACTTCCTCAGCGCATCACCACTGTCGCTCTACGGCACATGTCTCCTGCAGAAAGAGCCTCTGTTCTGTCTGTATCATGTCAGTGTCTTGGAGGATTTCAGCAGATTTCAGACTCTCTCGGGGGCGGGGCTAGTTCTGTCAATCAGGTATGAGTAGATGTCTGGCTACTGAAGTTTGAGACGTTTCTTCTCGTCATTTACGCATACGGGTAAGACGTATCCCCCTCACTAATGTTCATTTGACATCATAACTTATTTTATCACAGGACGATAAACTATTTGAGTGCGCTGACAATATCGCGAGCTAGTGTAGCACAGACAGTAGTGTTTTCTGCACTCAGGCTGCACGTATCTGCTGTGTTGTCAAACCATAGACCGTAAATAAGAATGGACAATGTGCCAAACAAATAATCCGTCCATATATTCGCCGCATGGTTTTATTTGCCGCAGGGTTCAAAGTGTGAGAAAAAAGTAGCGGCTTGTTTGGATTGGAGTTTGGAATTTATGGCACTTTTACTCTCTGGCTTTTAACACCGCGTGAGTTGTGTGCTCCTCTGTGTCTTTTATTTATTTGGTATTCTTGCTCTTTTAGTTTTATTGTCTTAATGAGGACTAGTGGAGTTAAGTAAAGCTTTATTTTAAATTTCTATTGGATATGTTTTATGTCTATGCTGCAGCTCTATGGAAACTGTTTTGTTCATGAAATGTGCTCTAGAAATAAAGTGGATTAGATTGAAACTTATGAAGCCAGAACTGGACAAGAACTTTATTTCAATCTTTAATATAGTGATGTGAACAATGTTATAGTGAAATAAGTAGTCTAACCTGTCATAAGCACTTTGGCTCTGAGGTGTGATACAACTTCTCCCTCACCATTCCAGATATTTTTAGCTTTCTTAAAATGTCCACTTTACCCATTTCACACCTGTCTGGATGTTGTGGACAGGGCTGAAAATTGCCCAATGATCACGTCAAGTTAAAATGATCTTCCACTCAAACAAACTCAGATTTTGTTTTGTTTTTTTTGGATACTTACTGTTCGTTTTCATTATAGAGTTTTCCAATGGCCCACGCAACTATTATCGGACACGGAATACCTGGAGAGACAAAAGGAAAGGAAAGAAAATGTAGATTAATCACGGTGGGGAAGTAATTAAATGCGAAAATACATATTTAGAATACAGATTTTGAGTAACTGTATTCTGATAGTTACTCATTTCATTCTGTGGCATTAAGAAGAGCTACTTTCCTAAAATCAAATAAATACTTTGTGATACTTAAAGGTGCACTGTGTAACTTTTCTGGTAGAGAGTCCACTACCTGGTGTTTGCCATGGAGATGTAAATGCTTTGCCTGGATTGTTTCAAAGTATGATGTTAAAATGACCAATCTTGCATTTACTTAATCCTTCCAGACAAAATGTACTAACATTTCCAGTACATTTGTCTTCGCCTGGATTTTTTTTTTCTCAATTGTGCTATTAAAGCTCCCCCTTTTAATCCCTAATGAAGTCTTATACATCCTTTTTTTTTCAGTTCAACCTGTTATTTCACAATCTGCTGCTGTAGTTGTGTCATATGGCTGTAATAAAAACTATAGGGCCAGAAATACAAATGAAAAAATAAAATGAAATAAAATCCACACTTTTTCATACTAAACAACTTTCTGGACATAATTTAGGGCCTTAACTACAAAAGTGCAAAATATCAAGTCTGTAAGTGAACTCAAAATGTCCTTATTGCCTCAAAACAAAACAAAAAAGTGCGATGGCCTCATGACTTTCCCGGTGTCAGTCATGGACAAAGCTCGTGTCAGGTCCAGGACACAGAGCCACATCCCTTCCTGCATTTCCATGGGGTTTATTACATTTGGATTTGTACATTTTAACTGAAAAAAATCTGAAAATAAATGTGTTGTGGCTTTTTGTTGTGTTGTCGCATTTGTGTTTGTTGCGGCGTTTGCGTTTGTTGTGACCCCTCTCGGCTTCCGTAATAAAGCATTCTCCAGAGCCTTCCTATAAGTTGTGTACTGTCCTTCATCTAAATTATAAAGAGTTTTATTGACCAAGAATCAGGAAGTGTGGAGTTAGGATGCTGCTTGTCAGTTGTTAGCATTAACTCTTTCCCCCATGAAGACGACATTTGACGACTCCCCCTGTTTCCTTAATGACGTCTTTTGACACCTCTGCTGTATCACTAAAGACGTGATTTGACCATTAGAAACGGCTCGGTTTTTCACATGTGAACAGAGACTGTGATCGGTGGGGGCCACTACAACCCACACTAGACTGACCAATAGGATTCAACGATATGTTTTCGCCGATTTTTTCTGAAGTTAATCGAAGTAGTGACGATGGCAGCTTCTGGAAAGAGTACAACACGAAACACGTGCAATGGAAAGATCGCGGCGCTGCGGCGCACAGTTTTAGAAATAATGAGGAGCGGATATATTTTATGGATAAGTTTAGAGAAAATGATTTTTATAGATTTCAAAGTGATGATGTTGAAGTTGATTATAAAGTGGAAAACAGTGATAGTGATGGACTTTCAGAGAGTGAAACTTATGAAGATGAGAATGCCGCTGATGCGTCTGTATGGAGTCCTGCGATATCCAAACAAACTATCTGGGCTTTATACTCGATTATGAACCAAAATTGCCCTGAAATCTGGATGTTGCTCAGGCGAGTCCTTTAAAATATATAATATATATATTTCAGTCTTTTTTTCCAAGATGTGATGTATAACAGAACTGCTAGAGAAACAAACACTTATGTGGAGCTCTGCACACGAGAAAGTAACCAAGATGACAAATACTGGACACCCACTGACGGGGAAGAGTTTTATTATTATATTATTATATTATAATAAGCTAAATGAGTTGAATAAATTAAATGAGTTGAATAAATTAAATGAGTTGAATAAGTTAAATGGAAAAATGAATTAGGTGCACACAGGTGTGAACAACAGGTAAAAACAGGTGCACACTTGGCTTTACTGTATCTGGTGATATGAAATCTGTTTAAATACTTTGACAAAGTATATATATGTATATATATATATATATATATATATATATATATATATATATATATATATATATATTATATTTTTTTTTTTTTTTTTTTGAATATAGTACTCAGAACATGCATATATCAGATGCTGAATGTAGTTTTTTTTTTTTGATTTTGCACCTGACCAGGTAAACTCTCATTTTCAGTGAGCTGTTATAAACCTATAAATGAGTTGAATCACATTTAAATATCCATAAATTAATAGTTCAGAGTTTAAGGTTTCCAGAGATACCAAATATGCCTGTGTTTCATGAGGGTGAAAATCATTTATAATCACTCGTGGAAGTCTGTTTTCTTTTATGCAGTTATGCTCTAAGGGCAGCCCTAGTCATATATGTATGGGTTGTTCCTAGTGGGCGTCCAGGGGGGAAAGAGTTAAAGTGACGGCAAAACTCCGCTCTGGCCTCTGAAAGTTGTAAAAAAAAAAAAACGCTTCACTGTGAACGATTAAGATGCTCAGAATGCATAAGGTAAGTGCGGAAAAATTTTGGATCACTTCAAAAATAAATTAGGTATGGTTTTCTCACTTTTAAGACACAGCGCCTTTAACCAAGCTGTATAATTGCATTCTCTATTCATTTACGAATTGGCTCTGGTTTGACCGAGCCTACGTCTTTTGGCTTTCAACAGGAATCAAAAGAAAATAACTAAAGACGAGGCCCCAAGCTGTTTAGCAAGAGCAGTTGAAGGGAGCTCACTCCTCTGTAGTCTGCGAGCTATAAGCAGCTGCTAATTGCTTTAACATGGTCAACAACAACTATTACATCAGCGAGTCTTCAAAAAGGGAAAGAAAGGATTGACTATGATTGAATTAGGCTTTAATGTATTCCTCTTCCCAGCATGCATCAGGACACAATTCATTTGACACACTTCTATCACGGGCTAATGAATGCTAATTAAATATTGCTATGGTCTAATATGGAAGGTGTAAAGGGAATTCTTGACCTGCTAACATATTCCATACATTAGCCAAGGATCATTTCTGTGGAATGCTACAGTGTGTCATGAACGAGGTCTTTAATGAAAGGAGCTGTGCTGGATTGTATTCAAGTATTAAAGTTGAATGTGTTTGCCCCTGTTGAGAAATATTGTAAAAGCAGCTCTCAGGATCAAAATGAGAGCTCTGGATATTAATCAAGCTTTATTTCAGGGTTCATGTAGAACTTTTCAAAAACAGATAGAACACAAACAAAACAGTAATACTGGTCTATAGTCTAGAGCAGGTGTCAAACTCAAATTCACAGAGGCCAAAATTCAAAACTGGGACTAAGTTGTGGGTCAAACTAAATATTTATTGAAAAATTTCAACAACACCTGCATGTTTTCTCTTCTTTCGGAATATGTAATGTTAAACCTTTTCTTATTAAAATAAATGTTTAATAATAGTTTTGCTTAAACACTGAATCCAGAACAAGCAGAATATAAAATAATAACAGCATTTTAAATAAATAATGCCTCTATAGCCTAAACTATTAATCTAATACATATTTGATATGATCTCGTGGGGCAAATATAATTATATTGCGGGTCAAATCTGGCTCCCAGGCCTGAGTTTGACATGTCTGGTATAGCAGAAGCAGTTCCTCCACTGCCTCCAGAGTTCGGAAGTAAACCTGACACTACTCTGCTCAAGCATTATTAAAACATTTATAATTTCACTTCCTGAATCCTCAAGGTGCTTCATAAATTCGTAAACAACTTTTCACAGGATTCAATGTAGGAACATTATTCTGCACAAACAGCAAACTGACACTTACCCATGGAGGGACTTTTATCAGGATATGAAAGGAATCATTATATATAACCTGCAACTACTTCAGTGTAGTTTTACTGTAACTGCAAGTGGGCAGTGTACTGTAGAGTGGTGTGAGGTAAGCTCTGAACACAGCTATTTTCACATTGCTTCTACACTTATAATCTTAAATGGACTTGCTCCACCAGCTCTGGGTGAGTTCATTAAGCCCAGGTCCAGCACTAGTGGTCGGGGAACAAGAGCCTCTATCAGAGGCGACTGTGCAATACCCTATAGACGCACAACTTTCAGTCAACAGGTGTGATCAGTCAAGGGCACAGAAATCTGGAACAACATCCCAGCTGCTATAAGAGACTCCACCACATTCAGTTCATTTAAAACTAATCTGAAGCGATGGCTTAAGAGAAACCAGATCTGTAACCACTAATGTTCTGCTCCTATGTAAATGTCAGTGTTGTATGTCATGCTTGTGTGTTTGTCTATTGTGACGCGTTTTATGTTCTTATGTTTTATGTCTCTATCTCTCTGACCTGCCAGGGACTACAGATGAAAAGTAGCCTTAGGGCTAATTCTGGCGTATTTACAAGTATATGTTCATGAATATGCATTGTCCCTTTTAAATAAATAAAAAATAAAATAAAAAAAAAACACATATGACATTTCCATGCCAACATATTTGCCTGTGTGTACAGTTTGCAGTACTGCCTCTGAATATCAGTATGATCACTGCTGATCATGTGACCGAGGTATTTGACCTTAACTATAGACAGCAAGAGCAGGAAACACAGTCTTTAGGTGCTCCTTAGTCCTAACCACCATCATCACTCTCTGTACTGTCTGCATCCAATCTTAGAACCAGGAAGAGACGTATTAGCGTGATCATTGTTGTCAGCAATAGTTATGGCAAAACTGTGCAATTGTCTCTAAAAGTTGTGAAAAGTGCTTATGAATTCATCGTTGTGAATAATTACAATGATAAGAATGTGCTGGGAATGTGAGCATTGCCAGTTCATTAAGTTTAATATGTTCAGGTTTGATATCTTGTTCCAAAAAAACAAAACAAACAGACATCCATCATTTTTAGATGCAATCAACCACCCATAAAAGCGTCTAATTTCACAAATCCAATATCACTTTCACGTTTTCTCATACAATACAGTCTCATCGGATTCACCCAAACCACGTTTTATGTCCTTTTTTATTTCTTCAAGTGCCCATTAGCAGACATTCTTGGACGAGATAGATTTTTTTCCTCCATTAGCTCATTCAGATTTGATTGTCATGTGCGATTTCTCCCTGCGCCCATCTTCCTCTTTTACTCATCATCACGGCTTCCTTGACATATCATTGGTCTGTCACTCCTAATCAGGGAACATCTCATTGCATCAGCTTCTATTATCTGTCCCAGCGCGTTACGTTTGAGTCACTTTATTTTGACCTACATGCAGACAAGGATGCCCACTCTCCCCCTCTTTTTTTTATCAACGCAACCTCCATTATCCATATGAGGGCCTAATGACATTAAGGTAGAAGGTTTTCTACACAATTACATGGCGGTACGGCTCGGGGTATGGCAAAAAAGTCAAGGTGGAGGATAATTTATGTGGTGCAAGGATACGGTATCAATGTGTTGAGGATTTTTTGTTAAAGCTGCACGGTGCAACTTTTCTGGTGAAGTGTCCGCAACTAATTGTTTTACCTTGATTATTCCATAGTATGGAAATAAAGCTGAGCATCACAATGGAGACAGGTTAATGGTGAGATCTATGGAGAAGCAAGCCCACACATTAGGGGTGTGATGTTGTCGTGGTCTCTTCACGGTATTAAACTGTGTGGCTCATAGCACAGTAAACTACATGGACCATAATCCTTTGCGGGCACGACATCGGTCTGTGCGCCTGTTGTGGACGCACCAAAGGCTTTTAAGCCTGAGGTCTAGAAGCATTTTGGGTTTGTCGTGACACAAAACGAGAAATGAGAAAAGGTGTCGGACAAACAACAGACAGAGTGTACAGACACAATGCAGCGTGCGGTTCACCTCGAGAAATACTACAACATGACAAGTCACTTGATAAGACGACACACCGAAAATGTTCAAGAATGTGTTCAGAAAATCAAGTTGGGACAAAAAACTATATATGAAGCATTTACAACAGCACTGCCTCACAACAGCTCAAGAAAGAATGAAACACATCGCAGAATATAAAGTGAGTGATTTGCATCAATTTTTCATGGTGGAAGACGACGGGTTTAAAAGGTTAGAGGCTAAACTGGAGCCGAAATGTAAAATGCCATCACATTCAAGTTTGTTTTTTTAATTTCCTTTGAGGAGGACTCACATATACATTGAGTAATAATGTGTTTAATGCAGTTTTGCGCACAGTTGTTTACATTTTACAGAAACAAAACAGCTCTTTGTGGCTGATGCAGTTCAGCTTCTGTCAGACTTGCTCCTCGAGGCTCCTGACTACAGTTTTATTACAAATGTTTAATTGTTACTTGAATTTTGCACTTGAACGTCAAAGGCTTTTGAAGCTGTTCAGAATGTCACTGATATGAAAATGACAATAAATGTTTTACCAAATGATGCTCAAAACATTTTATAATGTCACTCCTGTTATTATGTAAAATATCGTAATATCGTGAGCTTTCCTACGATATCACAATAAATATCATACTGTGAGGTTCATACTGTGACAATAACGTATTGTGAGACTTGGATATCGTTACAGCCCTAATGCACACTGTAAAAATTTATGTTTTTTAATGTATTTAATACCTTTAATTGAACAAATGGAAGGGAGATGCCGTATGTTTAAGCCCTACTGTGGAACATTCCAGGCAAAGAACTAACATCTCCATGGAGAACGTAGCGGATCCTCCACCTTAGAAGTTACACATTGTCCCTTTAACTTATATTTTATTGTTTCTTATTCATATTAGCAGAATATAACAAAACAAAACACACAAGTATACAGAACAAATGGTCAGTTATCCTTCAAATTAACAGTCCACTTTTCATTTTTTTAAGAAAGAAAGTCCCTTAATGTGCCTCCAGTTGTTAAGAAGATCGTCATCAAATATCTGGTCTGTCTTTCTGTGCTTTCTGACCTAAGTATCAAACTAAACCCTGTTTTTGGCAACTCGTACCCCAGTATTTTTCCTCGTGTCTGGGCTAGTCGAGCAAAGGAAATGGCATTTATACACTTCAATGCCGCTTAAGTCAAAATACAGAGACATTTTCCTCAAGAGCTCTCATTGAAGCTTAAGTGAAAGTTTCCTGCCAGCTGAGTACTCATTGGTGTAGACAGAGTCGAGACATGTCTGACCTTTCCTAAAATGAAAACGACTGTTTGAAAAAGTCCACGTTGTTTAAAGTTCAGAATGGACTCACAGAATTTAATCTTTTACAAAAGGTTGTTGCTAATGTCTCTTAGACTGTAAGATTAATCACAGTCAAATAAAAACTGTTCACCTTCTAAATGGCAGAAACAGAATAATGCGATTTTAAAACAAACTGAAAATGAAATTGCAATGTTGGTTTGAAACTTGTAATAAGATACAGTATTTTCTGAACATCCAACCTGACGACTTTTAAAGGGACTGTTCCAGATTTTCTTTTTCATATAATAAAGTCAAATTAGTCTTACCCCAGTACAGGTAAGTTGTAAAAATAAATAAGTGTCAAAATAAAACCGCTGTGTATTGTCCACGTCTAATTAGAAAGCGCTGTTAGCATGCTAGTTGTTCTTAGCAGTGGCCCCAACTCTACTTTTTCCCCTGAAAACTGTGAAAAGCCCTTATAAACCATCACAGTGTTATGTTATGATAACAGGAAATATCTCTAGACCAGGGATCGGCAACTCGCAGCTCTGGAGCTGCATGTGGCTCTTTCATCCTTCTGTTGTGGCTCCCTGTGCCTTTGTAAAATAAATAATGAGTATTTAATTACAATAAAGTTTTATTTTACTTTGTTCAGTTTTAAATGTAATTCTAAATTTGTACATAATGGTACTCTTGTAACATTCAAATAAAACGTTTTTAATATCTTTGTTGCTCAATTATGTGTCAAAGCCGCTGATGTGCGACACCCGGCACATATGTGGCAACTCAGATTTACCAGGCCTTACATCAGCAGCATGATTTATCAAGCTTTTTCAACTCATGGTCGGTAAATGATGACTAAATCCAAGAAAAGAAAAGTTTCTGAAGAAAACAGAATGTTTAATGTTCCGTGGGCAGATTCATTTTCTATCACAGCTCATGAGACTTGTTTACACGAGATAAAATGATGCTGTAACACAGAAGCAGACGGTATTTTTTGTTCGCTGCAGGTGGATAATTTAAGTTTGGATTTTTATTTCCTACGAGGAATCAATTAGACATTGAGTAATAATGTGTTTAATGCAGCTTTGCGCACATTTGTTTACATTTTACAGAAACTAAACTTAAAACCACATGGCTCATTTGCATAAACTATACGCGTTCTTTGTGTTTCTGATTTTGTGTGGAATATGAGTGTTCTTTCTGTGACAGAGAATGTGCTGCTGATGGTGAGTCTGTTCTGTGCTTTTATCGCATTGGAGATGGTTCATGTTAAACTTTTTGCAGATTATTCGTCTGCAGATCATACGCATGACCATATAAATGAATTATTCTCTGTAGCATTTAATTGATTTCATAAATGCAACACACTGTAGTCTTTTACAGAGTACACAGGTAAAAAAAATGAAATGCAGTGTTATCCTTTTAGATGTTAAAAGGGTTTTGTGGCTCTGGGTGTTTTTCTTTTCTGTGAGAGATGCTCCAAATGGCTCTTGGAGTATTTAAGGTTGCCGACCCCTGCTCTAGACCGCTGCAAATCGATCAAATAGTTCTGGTTTTCCACATGTGCCTGGAGCTCAGCCGGTACAGTGTTTGTCCTTGTGTTTGAATGCTGCCATTGTGTCCTTGGGCAAGACACCTAACTTATCTCGCCCCCAGTGTGTGCGTACACTGATGTATGCGTGAATGGGCGAGTGGTTCCATGATGTAAAGCGCTGTGAGTGCCTTGAAGGTCTAAAATCGCTATATGAAAAATATGACCATTTCCAAGTTGAAGTTTTAAGACAGTGAACTCAATAAAAGTCAAGCAGATGTATATTGCTATAAACTTTAAGTGTGAAAAGAGCTTCATTTCTGTACTCACACCAGCCGATGAAGAGGAAAACCCACTTGCGGAGCTTGTCTGTCGAATACGTCATGACGATGGCTGTGTGCAGATAACAACCCTCCACGAACATCCAGAAGAAGTTGGTCACCACAAAGTAATTATAGATGGTTGTGATGAGTCGACACCAGGGCTGCAAAATACAACCAAATCAAGTGTTAAAAAACAACAACTATTCTTCAAGATTTCTAACACATTTGTACAGTGAACAGAAGTGGTTAAAGTATGTCAGAAGTTAATATAGCTAATATAGACTATTCATATTGATGTTTTATTGGGCTTATATTATGCAAAATTGTGCTTTAAGCCATGTTATAATGTTTTTACCTCCTCAAAAACAGACCTGGAGTTGTGTTTTTCATTCCTACAGGTTTGAGTAATTCTGTATTATTAGGCCAGATTCATTAGCCAGTTTCACTTTGTGCTAACCATCTAACCTCGCATTATTACAATTCGTTCACTCGACAGTAGGTGGGTACTTTTTAAAAACTTAACCAATCGCTGCTATTTGGTCGCGACGTATGTAATGCACCGCAAACTGGTATATTAAGCTTTTCCCAAATCCCGTAGGAAGAAGGACAATAACGTCTTTCCTCTTGATAAAATTCACCAAACTTTCTCTTTGTTCCGGCTTTAAATCCTCGATCTCAGGAATCGTTGACAACACAGAATGTCTGGCTCTTTGTTTATTGGCTGGTGCCTGAACGTGCACTTCTGGGGTTCTTGCAAACTGTCTAGTGTATTCTGATTCCTGACCTAGTCGCTGGAGAGAAATGAAATTGAGCGGAGGCACTAGGTGGCGCCAGGCTGGCTAGCTGTCTACATCTCCAAAGCTCCAAATGCTCTGTTCCACCTTGTGATGTCATGAGGCGTTAGTTTTCAAGTGAACAGCTCCTTTTTCCTTCTACCTTCTACCTTAGTTAAATAGAGAATGGCAGTTCCAGGGCTGAAATTATCTAAATTATTCTAATAGAAGTGTGTGGAGGAGAGCACTTCTTGTATTACCACATGACATCATAAAGTGGAACAGATTGTTTTCTGTTTGAGAGAAGAAGTCAGCCAAATCTGCAGGGTTTGTGTGTTAAACGTGTGTGGTATGTTTCTGACGAGGAAACAACATTATAACATAGATCAGAAAATGTGTAACATGGGCCCTTTAAATCATCTATGAAAAACTACCAAACAAAGTAGAAGAGTGGTTACGTTCATGAACACGCCAACATCTGATTTCAGTAGTTTAAATGACATGCAAACTGCAAAATCCAAACTGAGTGATTAGAGGATGAGGCCATGATTGGAAAGAAATCAGTGGACTTATCATTTAATTAATCTTATTCATTTAACTCCCGAAATGTGACCATAATCTGATTTTGAGTGTGCATGTAACCACAGCCAGTGTTCATGCTGGGTACCTGATGTTTAACTATGAAAATGAATGTCAGCAACGTATCTGGCTCTTTATTTTATAATGTAGTTGCTGTATTTTCTGGTCTACTGAAAACACCTGAATATAAGCCACATCAACTTAATTTTAACAAAATTTTAAAATTGTACATATATAGGCTGCACCCGAGTATAAGCCGCAGGTGTCCACGTCTTCAAGAATGTTTTCAAGTTTGGGCCATATTGCTTTTATTGCTTCTGAAAGCTTTTGTCGTGTTTTTGCACTGAGTCAGTTCCAAATCTCACCCTCAACTCAATGATGTCGAGTTCACGTGCAGCAGCTCTGTTTCCTTCTTCCACAGTCACATCAATCGCCTTTAACTTAAAAGCTGCATCATCTGCATTTCTTCGTGTGTTTTCCATGAGGAGGGTGTGTGTATGAAGCACAAAATAACTGTTCAAAACACAATCAAACAGCATCTTCCTTGGCGCATCACCCCGTCTCTCCCTGCGCATGTCTCCTGCAGAAAGAGTCTCTGTTCTGTCTGTATCATGTCAGTGTCTTGGAGGATTTCAGCAGATTTCAGACTCTCTCGGGGGTGGGGTTAGTTCTGTCAATCAGGTATGAGTGGATGTCCGGCTACTGAAGTTTGAGATGTTTGTTCTCGTCATTTACACACACGGGTAAGACGTATCCCCCTCACTAATGATCATCATCTGTGACGGAGCGCCTGTGTTGCCCCGTCATCTCCCGACTGGCGCGTCTGAATCTGGCCAAAGAGCGCGCACGACGCTTCTTTCCCTCCCCATTTTGCGGAGCTAAGCTCCGATAGACTGATTTATGCAGGATGTTTTTTCCCCAACATCTGAACGGTTTCCCGGCTAGTGCGTTCGAGGGTGCACACTCGACGCCGACACCGCTTTCTTACCTGCAGCAGCCTCTGCGCCGTTCTTGGGTTCGGGGCCAAACCGAGGCACTTCCTGGTTGGGCTTTAAATAGCGCATAGTGGCGCGCTCAAGGGGGACATGTGATCATGGACTCAACCATTGTGGTCTATTTGGGGTCATTTGTGGGTTTTGAAGTTGTTTAATGTAACTTATGTTAACCTTATGAGGGGTTCTTTAAGTTATTTTTATTATGTTTATTTCCAAGTTGATTTGTGTTCCTCAATTCAGTTCTGCTTATGTTAATTCCTTAAAACCCCATTTTCGTTAATTGGTTAGCCCGGGGGGAGGGGCTAAGGGGGTATAAAAGGAGGGAGCTCCAGTCATTTGGGAGTTGGTATTTGGCCTGACTACGTGGGTGCTGGCAACTGTAAGTGAGATCATTGTACATATTTTTGTAAATACTTCTGTCTACATCCTCTTTTTTTTTTTTTGTCACTGTAAATATTCCACTCTGCACTTGGAGCTGTGGTGTGAATAAAAAAACCCACTCAAGTGAAGTTTTTTGACTGAGCCATCATTTTTACATTTATTTCGGATGAACCCGTGACAGCATCAGAACTTATTTAATCACACAGTGATTAACTATTTGAGTGCGCTCATGTAGCAACTTCATGTGAACCCTAGATCCATGTGTAACCGCACAGACACGGTGTTTTCTGCACTCAGGCTGTGTGTATCCACTGTGTTGTCAAACCATAGACTGTATATATGAATGGACAATGTACCAAACAAAGAATCCGTCCATATATTTGCTGCATCGTTTTATTAGCCGCAGGGTTCAAAGTGTGAGAAAAAGTAGCGGCTTATAATCCGGAATTTACAGTATGCATGATAATGCAATCTAAACATCCAAAATGTTCTTAAGTTACACACAGTGGGTCTGACACTTGCTTGTTACGATGGAGATGTCATTGCTCTGCCTGGACTATTCCACAGGGTGACATTAAACAGCTCTTCTTTACATTTATTAGAGATGGTTTTACAGCTCAAAAATACCTAGAAAAACAGACATTGTGACTGTGAGCGGGGTCGTCTCTCCACAGATCTCACCTGTAACTTGGTATGGTATGGTTTGGTCTTCATGGTGATAGCAAGGTTTAATACCACAGCGTGAAACATTCCAGCCAAAGCAATAACATCTCCCTGGAGAAAAGCTGATGGACTCTGCACCACAACAGTTACACAATGCACCTTTAAGCTCCTAATATGTCTTATTTTTCTCCTTTAGTGTTCGTGTTTTTGCTTCATTGCCCATTGAACTTGAGTAACATCAAACCAGCTAATGCACTCCTCTTCCACTCTGCTTTTTAGCTTTTTATTAACCGTGGAATGGGGATGAGAGTTGAACAGGTTTGAACCCCAGCTTTAAAAAAAAAAAGCCATAAAAACACACATCTCGGTGCCGTTACCTCGTTGCTCTCGTGGACGTTGTGGTCGATGAGTTGCAGGAGAAACCACATAATATTTCTGAGAATGAACGTGGCGATGAGGTTCCAGTGAATGATGTTACGCAGACACCTTATGCTCCTGGAAAACAAGCACAAAAGCTAATTAGAAGAGCTGTGGAAATGTCATCTTCTCCCATTTTGTTTAGCAGTTTGAATAGAAGCTTGTGCAGTTCTATACACACAAATGTGCAGCTTTTGTGTGGTCACTTCTTGCTGTTTGCCTGTTGAAAACTGTTCAGCAAGAAAAATGTAAAAGATATGGTTAGAATATTTGTTAATTTTATGTAGGATTTTGGTTAAACTACCTATATTTTGCTAAATTGACTCTTGTGACTTTTAAGCCACATTGTAAAGTTGTTACCTCTTCAAAACGAGACCTGGAATTGTGTTTTGTTTGAGTAAACCTTTATTATTTATCTGTCTACATCTCCAAACCTCAAAATGCTCTGTTCCATGTTGTTCCTTGGGGATGTTTGCTCAAAAATCACCCTCTTCATACTATTTTGAACAAAGCAGAAAGCTCTACTGCGATTTCTGAATTATATAAACTAATTGTTAAGTGCACACAAAAAATTCTACCTGTTGAGCAGCTTTGGAAAACTGAATTGAGGGATCATTCGGAGTGAGATTGGATCCAGATTTGGTCCAACATCTCGCTTTGATCAAGGAATCCCAATCATTAGATGATTCATTACAAAATTATTACCGTATTTTCGGGACCATGGGGCACTCTGGATTATAAGGCGCGCTGTCATAGAATGGTCTATTTTCAAGCTTTTACAACACAAATAAATGGCACCAGACTATAAGACGCATTCAACGAAACACAACAGTTGGATGGGTCAGTGGGACTTTGTTTGGCGCGTTCACGGTGACTCTGGGCTTTGCTCAGTTGTGGCGCGTAGGGAGGGTGCTGTCTGGGACTACAAGTCTATATAAGTGGCACATTGCACTCGCTTTTTTGGTTCGTTCCTCCGTTCCGTTCCTCGTCGGTGTGGAGTGATGAGTGTGGCTGCAGGTGTTTTTCGCTGTGCGGTCGCTGTCTGCTCAGTGTGTGTTTGTGTGTTCTGCGTGTGGTGCGGCTTTGTAGTTTACTGAAGTCGTGCTGGGACACCGAGTGGATTTGTGTATAGGGTGCTCTGGATTGCGGGGCGCAGTAATTTTTGATGGGGATGGAGGCTTTTATAGTGCGGACAATACGGTAAGAGTTTAAAGAGTTTATTTATACCCTAGAAGATTACACCAAATGAAAATAAAAGACAATCAGTGTTGGGGAGTAACAGATTACATGTACCGGCGTTACGTAATCAGAGTACAAATTATGAGTAACTGTATTCAGTTAAAGTTACTGTTTCAATGAGTGGTTATTGGATTACAGTTACTTTGTTGAAATAAATGGATTACATGGCGGTATTTTCCTGTTTTCACATTTTGGGCTAAACCAGGACTAAAACCAGAACTAAACCAGGTCTAAACAACATGACACTAACAGTAGGTGGACAGACTTTAAGGCAGCAGTGATCTCATATAAAAATCATTTCTCTATCAATAATATTTTTAATATGGTTAAGGAAAGACTGGGCTTTTTATTTTCTTTTAACAGACAGAACATCTTACGTTAAGATATTCTAGTCTTTGCTACTTTTGCTACTACAAACAGTTGTCTGTTCATGGAGACTTGGGCTCCAATTTGAAGAGAACAAACAAGAATTTTCAGGATGTGGTTGGTACATTCATGTAGTTTTAAAAAAACATGACAATATCAAGTAATCCAAAGTATTCAGATTACGTTACTCACTTTAAGTAATTTAATGGATTCCGTTACAAACTACATTTTGGGGTGTGTAATCTGTAATATGTAGGGGAATATATTTTAAAAGTCACCTTCTCAACACTGAAGACAAACCACATGGCGATTTCTGTGTAGAAAAAAACTGTGGGCACTTTTCTACATATGATATGGGAGTGTCTTGAGGTGGCTTTGGGAAAACATCACAAACACAATGTCTAAACTAATAGGAATAACTATACCTTGCATTCAGAGGTTTCTTTTGCTAAACAACATGTCCACTAACTAAAGTAATGTCCAACTAAATCTGACAATTAATGACCGTTGTATATTACTAGCAGGTCTTAAAGCAGCCAAAAAATATATATGCTGGAAATCTTCCACCAGCATATTACTCTTATTTTACAGAGAAATTGTTCAAATGAAGCTTTCCGCTGCTCAAATGCATGGAGTCAAAACCAAAAACATTTCTTGCTGGTCCAATCTAATGATCAAATTGAGATCTGCATTGATTATATAGTTGTTACCTGGAGACCTTTCATTATCATATGTTCTTAGAATGTAAACAATATGTATCCTCGTAGTTAATTTTCTGTGTATGGTACATAATAAGTATGTAAAATGCAATTTCTGCTGTTGTCTTTTGACAGAGGGACACTTGTTTTGTATAGAGGGAATAGAAACCTGGACATGTGCGTGTGGGGGGTTTAAAAGGAAGAAAAATGCAATGCTAACTAGAATATGTATAACTGCAAATGTTACGGGAATAGTCTGAATAATGGAAAAATAAAGACAACAGGCAGTGAGTTTTGGTTCTGTGCAGCCTCGCTTCATTGTATAAAATTACAAAATAATCTACATTTTACTCTAAATTTATCAATAATTTGGCCCTTTCACGATATATGTCCTACCTCACTTAAACACATATACTGTCTAATTACCAAAAAACAAACAAACGTGTATTTACTCAAATATGTGTACATCTGCATATATCTAATAGTATCTATTTCTTAAACACAACGGACTCCAGGCAACTCCAAAACAGTAGAAAAAGATCACACATCGCACGAGGAAAAATATAGTTAAAAGGCCTTTATCTGAATGGCCAAAGCCAACATGTTTCAACCTTAACTGGTCATCATCAGGGCTTAATTAAAACAGAGCATGGGCGTGGCATTCAAGTAGCCATTCAAATAAAGGCCTTTTAACTATATTTTTCCTCATGCGATGTGTTAACTTTTTCTACTGTTTTGGAGGGCCTGGAGTCCGTTGTGTTTGAGTTGTGATCCTTTTTTCCAAGAGCGCCCTTTACTTGCACCTACTGACTGGAACACCTGCAGCAAACAGCCACATTTTTGTTCTTTCTGCACAGTATCTATTTCTTACTTGAGAATTAATTGAAATATTATTCATATTTTTACAGTTCGGCTTACACATTTACTCATTTTACAATCACAACAACAACCTTAACTTTACTTGTTTATATCTTAACTGTTCATCAAAAATAATATCTGAACAATACAACACAGTGCGGGATGCTACATGCTTATTAAAAGAGTTCAAGTTGTGGAGGGGCGCCGCCGTTACAAAACCTCGTGTTCGCATTGCCGTGACTAGCAGAGCTTCAACAAACTAACATGATCTACTTTAATAAAACCACTCATATATATCGTCTCTAAACAACCAAAATAATATACAGTTCTCTTGTATGTACTTTTTTGTAAGTGTTTCACATTAGATTACCTGAATAATGGAAAAATAAAGACAACAGGCAGTGAGTTTTGGTTCTGTGCAGCCTCGCTTCACTGTATGAAGGGGAGCGGCACAAAACTTTTCAAGAAGGGCCGTGGCTCGAGACCCGCGACTGACTCACTACACTGCCACCTTCTGGCGCACCCCGGTAATGCAAGAGTATCTTAAAAATGAAACAGAAACATGCGAGCAAAACATTACATTGACAATTTAGTTCATTTTATCACTAAGGGAGTGACTTACCAGCACAAAAACAAATAGCCAAATTATACAATAACATAAAAATGTGACTGCACATTAGGGGTGTGCAAAAATATCGGAATATCGATATATCGTATCGTTTAATGTGATTGATACAGTATTGATATCATGGGCTACTGTATCGATATATCACCAAGAGTATTTTTACATGTGTTTTTCGAAATTATTTTGTTGCAGCACTACAGTTTTGTTGCTTTTGGAGTGAAAGGAAACTCATTTATGCAACACATTTGACATTTTGACACTGTTTTGATGATTAAAATGTTTGTGTTTCATATGAACTTTGCACAAGAAGTGGTTGAACAAAGACTTGTAGTATCACAGACATGATTTTTCATTATTTTTTATTGAACTGTATCGAATCGTTTTGAAATATATCATATCGAATTGAAAGTGCACTGTATCGAGATATGTATCGTGGCCTGTGTAATGAGGTATGTATCGTATCGGCAACTTCTTAATGATACCCAGTCCTACTGCACATTTTGTGTGAGTCACACAAATAATAACAGATGCCAAAAAAGGCACACACTGGTTAAAATAAAATGCCTTTATAAATTTACAGCATGTCTTAATGGACAACTTACAAAGTCTCGCCGCGTTTCAGCCTATGGCCTTCCTCAAGGAAAGGCACAGGGAAAGGCATTTTATTTTAACCAGTAAGTGCCTTGGATTTTTTGGCATCTTTTAACTGACTTCTCTTCCAAAAGAGCACCACTGAGTTTTATCTACTGTGTATTATCCTCTGGAGGTCCCGGAAGCGCTTCTTTTGAAACCTTTTTTATGCAAATAATAACACTTGAATAAAAATTTGATTACAAAAAAAGCTCTCTTCCACCTTGTGATGTCATGAAGTTGTAGTTATCAAGTTCTCGTCTACCTTTTACCACTCGTTCAGTAGAGATTGACAGTTCCAGAGCTGAAATTATCCAAATCATTCTAGTGAAGGTGTATGGAGTTTAAAACATAGTGGATCACTTCCTTTATCACCACATGACATCACAAGGTGCAACAAAGTGTTTTCTGTTTGAGATAAGAACAGGGTCTGTGTGTTAAACTTGTGTGCGTGAAACAAAACACAACACCAGGTTTATTTTTGATGAGGAAACAACATAACAACATAGACTGTAAAATCACATAATAGAGGCCCTTTAAATAGCCAAAAATTTTTTTAAAAAAGGCCTAACTTTGTCCTCAGATATTCAAATATTGGGTATGATTCCCATGTTGCTTACGTTATAATTTGGCGTTTGGATTCTCAAGACAATTATCGAACC